TTTTTTTTTTTAACCACCAACCAGATATAGTTTTATGTGGGTTTTGCAGGGTAGGGCGGGTAGGGGGTGCAACCATCGAACATTTGGTGAAAATTTGGTGGACTTCTGCAACCCTGGACCAGTAGCCCAGCGGCGCAGTGATTTTCTTTGGCACCTGAGAATGGCATCCGTGGTTCCCCCCAGTAATTTAACATAGCTATTGAACATGGCCATTTATAGTGAGTTTTCCCATCAAAAATGGTGATTTTCAATAGCTATGTTAAATAACCAGAGGGTATCTTATGATGAAGACCCAATGTCTGAGCGACTTTTCAAAGACTCGGCTGAGTCTGTCAGTTCAGTAGAGCATCTCACAGAGTTCATTGACCCATAAGGCCATCGAAAAAACAGCTACAAAACGGGGTTTTCAACAGGCATGCTGAACCTTGAAGAAACTATGAATTATTGCCAAAATGCGGAAACAACCCAGGTCAACGGAGTCCATATCAACATGCCAAGATTTCCCCTTTTTGTTGGATAAAACCAGATTTGGGTCTGTCCAAAAATGGGGTACCCTCAAAATCTATTTCTTTAAATAATCATTTCCCTGTGCCATCCCAAAATCGATAGAACAGTTGGACACTTGGAAAATATACAGATCTGGTTGGTGGTGACTGGAACATGACTGGATTATGACTTTCCATATAACTGGGGGTTACCCGGCCTGGTAAACTAAGAACAATGATGATTTAATGGGATTTTACTGGGATTTTATGGTGATCAATAGGTTATTTTTTATTTTTCCATTGAGTTGGGAATGTCATCATCCCAACTGACGAACTCCATCATTTTTCAGAGGGCAAAAAACCACTAACCAGATATGGGTATGGATCAATACCTATTAATACCATTTTTAGGGGGATGAACATCCATAAATCCCAGCTATTTTGATGTTCACCAGGGGTACTATTGGTTTTGACACACTGCCATATCATCCACATTCCTCCTGATTTAGACCCGGGCGTCTTGAGACGAACCCAGGTCGAAAGATACCAAGATCAACCTGCAGAGCAATTCGCTCTTCTCCTCTGCCACCAACTGCATTGCCACTTTGGCCGGAGTGCGGTGCAGTGCTTCAACTCACAATGCTGAGAACATGGGGATGACGGGGGATATTAACCAACGTATACTGTATATTTATAATATAATATATGTATCTAGATATGTATATATATATAAAGTATATATGTATATATATATATATATATAATATGTATAATATATATATATGTATGTATGGTATACATATGTAGGAATCTAAGAGGCAATGAATCGAGATTCACCCAAATACTGCCAACCATTTGTCTGTGTTTGGCGATGAGGGTTTTCCTGACCTAGTGGTGCTTCGAACTGGGAAACTAATGCTAAACCAGGTTTGGGGGAGACACACACACACACACACTTTTGGACAAAACCATGTACCCTCTGGTAATTTGTTACATAGCTATTGAAAATTGCCCATTTATAGTGGATTTACCCATTGAAAATGGTGAATTTCCCATAAGTTTTTTGTATGTTTACCAGAGGGTATTATATGAGGATTTCAATCTAGCTAGCAGTCCCTTCCCCCTATAATTCGACCCCCAATTTTTGGGCCTCGCTCCCTGGTTGGTTTCCGTGCGCATCTCTTGGTGGTTTGACCCAGGTCTGGTCTCTGCCTATGTCGCAGTTGACTTATTTGGTGTCAGGGGGCCCAAGGGACCAACAGGGACCCAGGGGACCCAGGGGATGATACCAACAGCAATGGTGAGGGATATCCTGGGGTTGATCCCCTCTGGTTATGACTAACCATTCACAGTTTGCCATTGAAAGATCCACCCATGCTATTAATAGCTAGGTAAACCATCTATCAATGGACCATGGCTTCCATGGCTATGTTAAATAACCAGAGGGTATATATACGTATATACATATAATGGGAGTATAACCAACTTGGATGGCAACGTTCAAAACCTGGTTGAGCACTTGGAGTAGTGATTTGATGAGCATTTAACCATCACTTATAGTTTTTTTTCACAATTTGAATGGTTGAATCATCCATTTTCTGGGAATCCCCATCAAACAACAGTCACAAGATGTGACAAGTTGGGTTTTCAATCAACTTGTTTTGAATTTATACAAACTACTATATCATATTATATCTAACAAATATATGGGGATATATATATATACATATGTAAATTATTTATACAAACTACTCAACAGGTTCCTGAAACAACTCTCTACTTTGCCAGGCGGTTTCCTGGCCAATTTTCCTGGGATTATTCGGGATGGCATGCGATTCGTGGCTACCGCGGCGTTTTTTTTTGATGGGAAAATCATCGAAGTACCCTCTGGTAATTTAACAGTTTGCTATTGAAAATGGCCATTTATAGTGAGTTTTCCCATTAAACATGGTGATTTTCCATAGTTTTTTGTGTGTTTACCAGAGGGTAAATGGGATATTTTCCAGGGTTAAATCACCCAGTTTACATATCCCCTGGATGTTCCCCACATTGAATTCCCCCTCATTGAGATCCCATACACATCAAATCCCTAACAAGCCCCTATCAAATCCCATAAATGAACCCCTAACACCCTCCTACCAAATCACAAATTACATACAATCAGCAGTAAATTCCAAAAAAAATCACCAGAACATCACCATCATTTCCCCACAAAAATCCCACAGCCGTCACAAGTCTTACTGGTGCTAAACGTAGGGAATTTTCGGGAATGATCCCAGTCATCACTAGTTTCATAATCATCCCAGCAACCCCCAGCAACCCATCCATTCCCTACGTTTAGCACCAGTAAGAAGTTCAGGTGGGTGTGTCTGAAAATAGTGTACCCCTAAACCCAATGGTTTTGCTGATCATTATCCCGTTTTTAAATGGCTATAATTGGGAATATACCCTATTTTCAGACAAACACAGGTATTTGATCGAACTCCTGAAGTTCTGTGATGATTTGAAGAACATCCCGGAACGTGTGGCCTTCTTGGTGCGGCCGGCCCAGCATCTAAAATGTGGATCTGTACAGTCATTTTATAGACTTTATAGAATATATATATATATACGGATATATATATATATTATAGATTTGGGAATAGATTTAGAAGTTGACTCAACTTCTTATTATTTTACAACATAGGGTCACATATCATATATGGTTACCAAAATAAAGTCACATACAATCATATGTATAATATAATTGAAGATGATGACGACGACGACGACGATGATGATGATGATGATATGTGATTAGGTACAGAAGTTGGGACATATTTAGGAGTTGACTGAACTAGGAATGAACCAGCCTATCATTTTTCATGCCATCGAACATTTTTTTGCGGTTCAAGTTCAAATCAGAAGAATTAGGGTGCTTTGAACTCACCATCTTTGTTTAAATCTGGATTTAAGCGACAACACTTGGAGATTGAAGCGGTACAAGTTGGGGAAGGAACTCAAACGGGAACATGATCTACAAGGGTTTTGTTATTTTTGACAATGGTTCCATGTTTGGATGGTAGAAAGCGCTCGTTTTGTGTCATTTTCATGTTTGTTCGAATGGTTGTTTGAATGGTCGTTTAGTGGTTGAAAAGAATCTTCCAGTGATTTTTGCATGATTTTGTCGCAGCAGCATCTTAGTGGGTCACTTTTTGGAGACACTGGCAGTGCATTGGAACAGGATTACCCTCTGGTAAACTAACAGTTTGCTATTGAAAATGGCCATAGAAATACTGGACTTACCCATTAAAAATGGTGAATTTCCATAGCAAACGTATGTTTACCAAAGGGTATGTTCGACCCAGATTTTTCAATCTTTGTCGATTGAGTTGACCATGGAATTTTCAACTTTCAAAACATCCGCAATCTTGGCATTATCAATCTACCCTCTGGTAAACATACGAAAAACTATGGAAAATCACCACTTTTAATTGGTAAATCCACTATAAATGGCCATTTTCAATAGCAAACTGTTAGTTTACCAGAGGGTAGCATTCATCTCTTATTATATATCCCCCATTTGCGTTGCTTCCATCCCTATATCCACATTACTGTATATCTCCATTATATATTGGCACATTCACTGGTTCAGTCCAATATTTACAATAGTAAATGTTGCTGGTTGTTGTTTGTTTTTTTTTCCCACTAACCAGGATCCCATTAATCAAAGTTCTGTTCTCACATGCTTTCTCCCTCTCAATGGCTCGTCGCTCCCTCAGCGGTTTTCGACTAAACATGCTCTGAAAAACAGCGTTTCTGAGCCAGCATGTGCATACAGACTTAGGAATCAACCGTAGTATAACCATTATTGAGCATAAAAACACATATTACCCCATTATATCCCCATTACATCCCCAGTATATCCCTAGTAAATCCCACTCTATCTATATACCATATTTACTTGTTGAGCCCCATACTTACCATATTTCAGTATACTCCATTATATCCCCATTTAGTCTCCATCCTGTTGGTTACATTCTCCATTGCAGTATATCCCCAATGTTCCGTCATCTCCCATTTTTCCCCAAACAGTGTGTCCACACTCAGGGGTTCTTACGGTAGCCGTAAAGGCCGGTGCTTGATCAGGGTGCTCACTCTGGTCTCGAGCCTTTTCCTGTAAATTTCCGTATAAAGTGGCTCTTGTGAAATCTTGACATGCATTTCGACTGCGCAGGCTGTGTGTCTGCGTTCTGGGCTCATTTTGGTCTGCGGCATTTTACTTGTAAATTTCCGTATAAAGTGGCTCTTGTGAAATCTTGACATGCATTTCGACTGCGCAGGCTCCCACAAAGTCTGCATCATCCTCCGCCTTTTCACCCTTCACTTCGCCTTCCGCATGATCATCGTCAATCCTCATTCTCCTCATTCTCCTCATTCTCCTCATTCTCCTCATTCTACTCAACATCATCATCCCCATCATCCTCATCATGCTCATCATGCTCATCATGCTCATCATGCTCATCATGCTCATCATGCTCATCATGCTCATCATGTTCATCATGTTCATCATGTTCATCATGTTCATCATCCTCATCATCCTCATCCTCATCATCCTCATCCTCATCATCATCATCATCGTCATCATCCTCATCATGCTCATCATGCTCATCATGTTCATCATGTTCATCATGTTCATCATCCTCATCCTCATCATCCTCATCATCCTCATCATCATCATCATCGTCATCATCATCATCATCATCATCATCATCATCACCATCATCACCATCATCATCATCACCATCATCATCATCATCATCATCATCATCATCATCCTCATCCTTATCCTCATCCTCAACATCACTCCTACTCCCACTCCCCCACGCTGTTTGGGGTCTCTTGCCGGGATAATTTTGTTGGTTCAATCCCTATGATTCACCATAAAATCACCATCAAAATCCTGGTTTTAATCCCACCATTTTTTCTGGTTAAGTCCCACATGTAGTGGTTCCATGAATAGCAACCATATAACCATTATGACCATATATTATCATATATCACCATTAATAATGGTTATTATCAATTATTAGTCAACATCAATAACCATTATTAATTATAATGATTGTCATATTACCAATAACCATTAGTCAATACCCATATCATTATTATTATCAATAAATTATTATCATCTATCACCATTCATACGGGTTGAATCCCAAACTCTTGGTTTCCACCAAGGTGATGACCAAGGGCGTCATGGCGCGTCACACGGGTGAGATGGTGCCGTCTCAGTGTACCGGTGCTCTGGGCACCACGGTGCCTCGATTCGGATCGGAAACCGATGAGATCTCGGGGGTGGTCCGGTGAAATGGGATAACTCTACCATTTTCCAGGGATTTTACAGGCATTTTATCATAAAATGCCTGTAAAATCCCTGGAAAATGGAATTTTATGGGATTTCATGAAATTTTTGGAGTGATGTTGTGGAATTTACTGCTATTTTGGTGGTGATTGGTTGGGATTCGATAGGGATTTGATGGATTTTTTTAATGGGATCTTAATGGAGATTTCATGGGCCCATAGGCCATTAAATGATTTAATGGCTATGGTGGGGATACCCTCTGGTAAACTAACAGTTTGCAATGGAAAATCACCAAAATCACCATTTTTAATGGGAAAATCCACTAGTTCTATGGCCATGGCTTCAATAGCTTTTTGTATGTTTACCAGAGGGTAAACTTTACGAGATACGAGTTTACTTGAGCTTTACGAAATTGGGTGTATCTCTGTTTGGGACGATTCTTTTGGGTAACCCCCAAGATGGCAAGGTAGCAAGGTGGCTGGATCGTTACCCATCAAGCTAGTTTGATATACACTCCCGTAATCAAACATGGCACTGGGATTTTAGGAACATCATCTGTAGACAATTGTAGACATATGTATTGATGTATAGTAGATTTTTCATTGCCAAATTTGATTACCCGAGGGTATGTACCATAAACCCAATCGTTTACTGAGAAACCAACTTGGCAAAGTAGAATAAACACCACCTTGTATGAATTGCCATTGTACTTGGCATTTCATCAATACACATTTAGATTGGCACCAGACATGAGGATTCCTTGAAATGTATACGTCAGAATTCAGCTTTATTGGAGACCTTGATGATGAATCAATTTATTTTGCTACTTCAATAAGTGTGGATTAAACGTTTTTACTTAATGGAACTTCACCTATTTGGCCTTGTGCAGAATCATGGATTCTAGCCAGCAACAATGGTTTTTGTTCAATGAAAAGAGCAGTTTCAATCAACACTTGGCTGGATTTGATGAACCGTGGCTGGAGATCAATGGGCGTACAGTCATATGGATACCCTCTGGTAGAACATATGGCACCCCCGGCAATAAATAGGAAAGTACATATTTCTACGATATATCTTGGGTAAATGGTTTTTCTATCTGGTTGGAAACGATAGTAAACAAATGTAAACAAATTCACAATGGATCTTGTGGCTATATGGATTCATGCAATCTTTTTTGGTGTGAACTAGGCAACTCGGAACAAACTAATCATGTTGCTGACCACTTCTCCCTACGATGGTGAACATATCCAAACGATTTTCCGTCCAAACGGAGCTTTTTTCTTAGTTGGTGAACATCCCGAAGTCCGCTTGTTACCCTCTGGTAAACATACAAAAAACTATTGAACATGGCCCATTTATAGTTGATTTACCCATGAAACATGGTGATTTTCCATAGTTATTTGTATGTTTACCAGAGGGTAAGCTTCCAAGTTTTCATATGCCTCGTCCAGTCCGAGTCCATGTTGCCTACTCGGAGGATCATCCCGCACGTAATAACTGCACCATGCACATCCCAAACTGCACGTCCCAAAGTATCATTTCTCAAGTTATTAGTTGGCATAATCTAAGTATAATTAAATGGTTAATGATACCATGATTAATGATACTTGGTTAATGATACCATGGTTACATATTGGGATCAGCAAAACCAATCTATGTATAATGATCCCATGCAAATCCCCAGTTATGCATGGGTATAGGGCTTAGACACCACTTACGATGCCTGGCATGAACCTGCAGGAATTCTTGGCTATATCGCAGCATAATCCCATGGACTTTCATTATGGCTGCATAATCATCCGATCATATCCCTATCATATCCCCATTGTAGCCCCATTGTATCCCATATTTTGGTTGGTTATATTTCCAATCTATAATCAGCATCAATCCCCAATGTTAATTAAATTCCCAATTAATCTTGGGTCTTTCATCAACCCAATTACTTTTATAACTTTTATACGTGATGTATGGGTTACCCTCTGGTAATTTAACATAGCTATTGAACATGGCCCTTTATAGTTGATTACCCATGAACATGGTGATTCCATCAGTTTATTTGTATGTTACCAAGGGTATGGCCTCGTCCAGTCGAGTCCATTTGCCTAACTGGCAGTATTCCCGCACGTAATAACTGCACCATGCACATCCCAAACTGCACGTCCCAAAGTATCATTTCTCAAGTTATTAGTTGGCATAATCTAAGTATAATTAAATGGTTAATGATACCATGATTAATGATACTTGGTTAATGATACCATGGTTACATATTGGGATCAGCAAAACCAATCTATGTATAATGATCCCATGCAAATCCCCAGTTATGCATGGGTATAGGGCTTAGACACCACTTACGATGCCTGGCATGAACCTGCAGGAATTCTTGGCTATATCGCAGCATAATCCCATGGACTTTCATTATGGCTGCATAATCATCCGATCATATCCCTATCATATCCCCATTGTAGCCCCATTGTATCCCATATTTTGGTTGGTTATATTTCCAATCTATAATCAGCATCAATCCCCAATGTTAATTAAATTCCCAATTAATCTTGGGTCTTTCATCAACCCAATTACTTTTATAACTTTTATACGTGATGTATGGGTTACCCTCTGGTAATTTAACATAGCTATTGAACATGGCCCATTTATAGTTGATTTACCCATGAAACATGGTGATTTTCCATAGTTATTTGTATGTTTACCAGAGGGTATGCCTCGTCCAGTCCGAGTCCATGTTGCCTACTGGGAGGATCATCCCGCACGTAATAACTGCACCATGCACATCCCAAACTGCACGTCCCAAAGTATCATTTCTCAAGTTATTAGTTGGCATAATCTAAGTATAATTAAATGGTTAATGATACCATGATTAATGATACTTGGTTAATGATACCATGGTTACATATTGGGATCAGCAAAACCAATCTATGTATAATGATCCCATGCAAATCCCCAGTTATGCATGGGTATAGGGCTTAGACACCACTTACGATGCCTGGCATGAACCTGCAGGAATTCTTGGCTATATCGCAGCATAATCCCATGGACTTTCATTATGGCTGCATAATCATCCGATCATATCCCTATCATATCCCCATTGTAGCCCCATTGTATCCCATATTTTGGTTGGTTATATTTCCAATCTATAATCAGCATCAATCCCCAATGTTAATTAAATTCCCAATTAATCTTGGGTCTTTCATCAACCCAATTACTTTTATAACTTTTATACGTGATGTATGGGTTACCCTCTGGTAATTTAACATAGCTATTGAACATGGCCCATTTATAGTTGATTTACCCATGAAACATGGTGATTTTCCATAGTTATTTGTATGTTTACCAGAGGGTAAGCTTCCAAGTTTTCATATGCCTCGTCCAGTCCGAGTCCATGTTGCCTACTGGGAGGATCATCCCGCACGTAATAACTGCACCATGCACATCCCAAACTGCACGTCCCAAAGTATCATTTCTCAAGTTATTAGTTGGCATAATCTAAGTATAATTAAATGGTTAATGATACCATGATTAATGATACTTGGTTAATGATACCATGGTTACATATTGGGATCAGCAAAACCAATCTATGTATAATGATCCCATGCAAATCCCCAGTTATGCATGGGTATAGGGCTTAGACACCACTTACGATGCCTGGCATGAACCTGCAGGAATTCTTGGCTATATCGCAGCATAATCCCATGGACTTTCATTATGGCTGCATAATCATCCGATCATATCCCTATCATATCCCCATTGTAGCCCCATTGTATCCCATATTTTGGTTGGTTATATTTCCAATCTATAATCAGCATCAATCCCCAATGTTAATTAAATTCCCAATTAATCTTGGGTCTTTCATCAACCCAATTACTTTTATAACTTTTATACGTGATGTATGGGTTACCCTCTGGTAATTTAACATAGCTATTGAACATGGCCCATTTATAGTTGATTTACCCATGAAACATGGTGATTTTCCATAGTTATTTGTATGTTTACCAGAGGGTAAGCTTCCAAGTTTTCATATGCCTCGTCCAGTCCGAGTCCATGTTGCCTACTGGGAGGATCATCCCGCACGTAATAACTGCACCATGCACATCCCAAACTGCACGTCCCAAAGTATCATTTCTCAAGTTATTAGTTGGCATAATCTAAGTATAATTAAATGGTTAATGATACCATGATTAATGATACTTGGTTAATGATACCATGGTTACATATTGGGATCAGCAAAACCAATCTATGTATAATGATCCCATGCAAATCCCCAGTTATGCATGGGTATAGGGCTTAGACACCACTTACGATGCCTGGCATGAACCTGCAGGAATTCTTGGCTATATCGCAGCATAATCCCATGGACTTTCATTATGGCTGCATAATCATCCGATCATATCCCTATCATATCCCCATTGTAGCCCCATTGTATCCCATATTTTGGTTGGTTATATTTCCAATCTATAATCAGCATCAATCCCCAATGTTAATTAAATTCCCAATTAATCTTGGGTCTTTCATCAACCCAATTACTTTTATAACTTTTATACGTGATGTATGGGTTACCCTCTGGTAATTTAACATAGCTATTGAACATGGCCCATTTATAGTTGATTTACCCATGAAACATGGTGATTTTCCATAGTTATTTGTATGTTTACCAGAGGGTACTCCATGTTATTCCCAGTTGATGGCTTATGTCGGTCAATGGGTATTTCAGGATCCTAAAATGGGGGTACTGTACCATATAAGGCCATATTTTGTGGGGATATTCCCTGAAATTTAGGCCTAAAAAATAGGCCTTATATGGCAGTGTTCAAACCTTGTAGCCCTGATGAACATCAAAATAGCTGGTAAATGGATGTTCATCCCCCTAAAAATGGTATTAATAGGTATTGATCCATACCCATATCTGGTAGGTACCTCCATTTTTTTCGGTTCCTGTTGCATGGCCGTTGATGTCTGGTGCCACTCCAGGTCTGGGCAGTCTGCCGCACGATTCGCCTGGAAAGTCCCAAGCTCTTGGTGTGCACCGTGGACATGCCGTGCCCTGGATCTGACGGACCTAGCGAGTTCCTGAGTGAACACATATGGGAATGGGTCAAAACCTTGTAGCCCTGGTGAACATCAAAATGGCTGGTAAATGGATGTCCATCCCCTAATGAACTGTATCTATAGGTATTGATCCATAGCCATATCACTAGATGTATAATCATAAAATAGGGGTTTCCTAAAATGGAGGTGTCCTAAAATAGGGGTTTTCCTAGATGTATACCTATATGGAGGTTTCCTATAGGGGTACCCCTCAATCATCCATAGATGGGATTTTCCACTATAAACCAGGCATTTTGGGGTACCTCAATTTATGGAAACACCCATGTTACCCATCCTGAAGTAGATATGGCAATTTCAATCATTCATTACAAGCATGAGAACATCATTGAACATTTGATATTGTATCTACATCATGATGGTACCTATATATATATATATGAATGATTGTGCATGTATAGTATGATCATGAAAATAAATATAAATGAACCTACACGTATATGACAACACATCAACATATATATATATATGTATACTCGTATCAAAATCATATATTTATATGTACATCTGAGTAGATCTGGATACACATTATATTGTAAGTCTTGACACAACTGCGGAAGGAAGACTTGAAAGAAATGGTCATTGACATGACGCACCGTAGTTTGACCAATGCTCATAGACGAGCTGATGATTCACCATGGGTATGCACTGTCAGCAGCTGGTAGTTTCTCAAGATTTGCTGCCGGAAACATGAGACGTCAACCTGATCTTATGATATATAGAATAATCCCAGCCCCTAATATTAAACACTCCTCAGAAACCATGGTTTAATAGGGAATTAACACTATTTGGGGCAGTCTACGGGGTGTTTAGTAAAATTTGGGGATGGGATTACTATAGAATCGACTTCAGAAATGGTAAACGTGACGTCGCATGGTGTTTTAGTCAACGAACATGGGAGTTGAACCAACAGAAATGATTGAACATGGAGCTTAAGCAAAGGGGACTGATCACTGATCCCTCAAAACTCAAAACTGTGATCTCGCAAAATTACGCAACGAACATGGGATAGAGAGGGAATGCCTAGCAAACTCCAGGATTGCAGGAGGCTATCTCCCATCCCAACCCTCGAATTCAACACCAGTGGTGCCATGTGCAGCCCCTCATAATGACGTGTGATGGGAACGTATCAAAGCATCCATAAGTATATCTACAAATGGATATGTATATGCCAGAAAGTATTGTTTGTTATTGTTACTATAATAGTAATAACAATAACAATAATAGTAATCATAGAAATAATAATAATTATCATTATTACTTATTTTTTGAATACCCTCTTGTAATCAACCGTGGTAATTGCAAATATACCCTTTTTCAATGGAAGGAATGGGACCATCATCCATCCATCGGTGATTTTCGAGCCCACCTTCGCGAGGTCCAGCGCAGATGTGCATGAGATGACCGATTGCATCCGGGCAGTTTCTTGGATTTCTGCCATCCTGCCATCTACTGGGACCATCGAAGGGAAAACATGGGGGAAAGCATGGGACTTGATCCGACAAAAATGGTGATATCTCATAATATCATGGGATATTTCTGATATTATGGGATATAATGTTGGATATCATTTAGATGGTATATGGGATATATTCATGTTGACCCCTTGTAATTTGCTACAGAGTTATTTTGAATGGTACATTTATTGCTACAGATGATTTACATATTGATTTACCCAAAAGACATGGCGAGAAACTCTAGAGTCAGGTATATCAAGTTTCCAGCGGCTACACACCAGTGGATCTGGTGGGTGAGAAATCACATCTTTTCTGTTTGAAAACACATATTTTAGTGTTGATCATCCAATATTTTTCAAAACATCTTTGGAATGGCTTGAAACCACCAATCAGCTGAAAATACAACCTATTAATCTAGTTTCATCAACATATATCACTGGCTGGTGGTTTGGAACATTTTGATTATTTTTTCCATATATTGGGAATGTCATCATCCCAACTGACGAACTCATATTTTTCATTGGGGTGGCTCAACCACCAACTGGATCATTGATCCAACGAAAGTCCTTGGAACATTGGAACAATAGAGGCTTCAAGATCTTCATCCGCGCCAAAACCTGGCGAAATTCCTGCGAGGTGGTCCGAATAGGAGCATTTTTTGCGGTGTCAAGCCATCATTTTTACGACCGAAGTCATGTTAAAGCAGCACTGGTTGGTGTTGTCAAACATGTTTGAATTGTCATGGAAATGACATGATCCCCAATGACAATCATCTTTTTTTGGGGTGGCTCAACCACCAACCCGACCCTTTTGTGCTGGTCAAATCCACATGTTTACAAAGGAAAATTGCTGGACCCTTTTTGGTAACCCGCATTTTACTTTACATCTATATATTTACATCTATAGTAACCCTATAGCTGGTTGGTGGTTTGGAACATTTGGATTATTTTTCCATTTCATATATGGGATATACCGGTATGAGTGTCCTCTAGGATTTCAGGGGGGTTAACCCCCCTAAGGAGGGTTGATTTTCTGTCCTTCGAAAAGCTCGAATTTGCTGAATTGATGCTTTCGAAGTTCCTCCAATTTTCTAAAGAACAACTTTTGGAGACCTCTGAGTCGTAAGATGCTGATTTTCTGGAGAGTTTTGATGCCCAAAATCCTGAAGCATAATTTTAGCATCTCTGGGAGTACGTTCATAGATTTTCTAGTGGTCCTTGATTGTCTAGAAAGGCAGGTGATTCTATTTTGTTCGTCGCATCCTTTCACAATCCCCTTTCGAACATTTGCATGGGCTGAAGCCCCAGCCGACCTTTAGAAAATGGATCTCCTGGGGGTTCCACATGTGGGAGTCCTTAGAAAATCAAATTCCTGGTATGTTTATTCTCATTGTGTTCTTTGTAAATGATTTTGAGCGCGGCTGAAGTTAGAAAGAGTAACTTTTTTCTTTTGTCTGTGGTATTTTTTTTTATTGATTGTTTGAATCTCTAGGGAATCAAAGTGATTGATGTGAGATATAAGCCTATTGGATGCCTAGAATATTGAAGCACATGGGGTAGGTAAATATATGTGGTTTTAGGGTTGTACAAAAAATCCAAAAAGTGGAACCTGCTGAGTGGTTTTATCATGAAACAATTTTCCAAGTTGATTTCCTAGATGTCATTTTGATCTTGACCCAATCACTTCAATATATTCTATATAGATGCATCTTGGGGTGGGGGGTTGCGACCACCCGTTTTCGATCTATAAAATCGATGTCAGGGTGGATCAGCTGAATTATATGAAGGTGGATATCTAACCATCCTGGAACCTCCACCTTTTCTTTTTAGTTCTCGCGTTTGCCTAAGTCGCCGAGTTTTTTTGTGCAAACAATTATCTTGACAAGAATTACATATTTCCTTTGTTTGAGCCTGTTTGCAGCCATTTTGCATGATTTTCTCAAGTAACAATGATTTCCAGCAACACGTCATGAACAACATTTTTCGTTTTCAAAGCCTATGACATGTTGCATTTTTGTATATTTTTGCGGGGTCAACCAACAGCCACCAACAAACAAGCCACATAATTTTACAACCTTGCGTTTGTTGAAATGTTTTTTTTTTTTTTGTGGGCTGTCCTGGGCGACTTTTTAGGGAGAATATGCATTTTCGAAAAGCTCGATCGAAAAAATCGAAACCGTACGCTGGGTTGCATGTTGGGCGCTAGAAAAAGGGTAGCAGTAACTTGAAGTGGTTTTTAACATGTTTGATATCGTAATTGCAAAACTATGCAATTCAAGTACGGCGGTGTTTTTCAAAGGAAAAATGCTAAACATAGCTTTGCACTTCTTGTACGTTGCCATTTTTCTAGGATACCCCAAATTGGTTTGATGTCTGTTGCTAGATTTTCTTGAGTCCCTAATTTATACAACCTACATTTTCTACTAGAAAGTCACAGGCCCCAACCCGACCCGGTGAACTCGTACAGGGAGTATGGGATAGTCCTATAGTAACCCTATAGTGACTCCCCCTATAGTAATCCATCTATCTGTTTAGGGGCTGCGAAAAAAACCGCGCGGTTCACGGAACCAATTTTCCGGCCGCGCCGAGGCACAACTCGATCCAGGCCCAAGGAATGAAATTTCCTTCATCATCGACCGAACCAATCAGCTAGGCGGGACGTCGGGAGGTCGGGAGGGATGCCTATCTATCTATCTGTCTGTCTGTCTGTCTATCTATCTACCTATCTATCTATCTATCTTATCTTATTTTATATTAGCTTATCTTATCTTATCTTATCTATCTAACCTATTTATCATCTATCTATTTATCATCTATCTATTTACCATCTATCTATCTTATCTTATCGTATCGTATCGTATCTTATCTTATCTATCTATCTATGTATCTGTCTATCTATCTACCTGTCTACCTCTACTCCGATGTTCGGGCTGTAAATATATACATATGTATACATGTATATATATATACATATGTATATGTATATGTGTATATATATATACATATGTATACATATATATATATTTATGTAAGTATATATATATATATATATGTATGTATATATATATTTATGTATTTGTATATATATATATTTATGTGAGTATATATGTGTATATATGTATATATATTTATATATATATATATAGATATACATAATGTGTGTATATATACATTTATGTAGTGTATATGTATGTATGTATGTATGTATGTATGTTATGTTATGTTATGTTATGTTATGTTATGTTATGTTATGTTATGTTATGTATATATGTAATGTATGTATGTAATGTAATGTAATGTAATGTAATGTAATGTAATGTAATGTTATGTTATGTTATGTTATGTATGTATGTAAGTATGTATGTATGTATGTAATGTATGTATGTATGTATGTATGTATGTATGTATGTATGTATGTATGTATGTATGTATGTATGTATGTATGTATGTATGTATGTATGTATGTATGTATGTATGTATGTATGTAGTATGTATGTATGTATGTATGTATGTATGTATGTATGTATGTATGTATGTATGTATGTATGTATGTATGTATGTATGTATGTATGTATGTATGTATGTATGTATGTATGTATGTATGTATGTATGTATGTATGTATGTAATACATATATATATATATATATGTAATATAGTCATGTATATATATATACATGTAGTATGTATGTATGTATGTATGTATGTATGTATGTATGTATGTATGTATGTATGTATGTATGTATGTATGTATGTATGTATGTATGTATGTGTATGATTGATCCATACTCATCTGTGCAGAGGCCATTTGACCATTTTACCATTTGACCTTGAGGGCTACACCACCATAAACAATCCCTTCCCTATGACCTTAAACACCTCGCTGAGTTTTCGATATCTTTATTCTTGGGTCCAGTCATGGGTGGTAGTTTATTTTCCGAAGGGATGACTAGGGTGTCAAGTTTCAACTGGTGCCGGCCGAGGCAAGCGGCCCTACTGATTCTGATGTCTTGCTTCCGACATAAATTTCCGCGAGATGAAAAAGGGTGGGTCGTGGGGACCAAATACTACAGGAGGTGACTGGTCCAATAATAGCTGGTTAACAGGCCCTTACTATATAATCATTGTTGGTGGTTAAGAATCTATCCAGTGGTTAGGAGGGAACTCAGGAGCTAGTGGTATCTTTCTTCCAATATTTCCAATGAAATTTTTGGGAGCCAAGGACCTAAGGAGCTACGAAGAGTTTCCCCAGCACATGATAAACCTTGAATCAACTCTTATTATTTGAATGGGAATTCCAGGATCTTAAAATGGAGCTACGTAAACGTACCATTTTTCAGTTCATATTTTTGGGGGTATATCCTCTTACATAGGCCTTATATATGCTAGGTACCTCCAATTTACCCTCTGGTAAACTACCACAATGGAAAATCACCATTTTCAATGGGTAAATCCACCATAAATGGCCATTTCCACCTAAGGAATAGGCCAAAAATATATGGTAGGTACCGTACCTTTTTTTGCGCTGGCCAGCATGGCAATTGATTATTTGGGGGTCACCCTTGGGTGGGACTACAGTCGAATTTTGTCTCCAACTCCCAAATATGTATATATATATATGTATATGTATATGTATATGTGTATGTGTATATATATATATATGTATATGTATATATATATATATATATATGTATGTATATATATATATAATATCGAAATGTCAAATTCAACAAATGAATAGTTGATACCAAATAGCCTCTGGTAATTTGTTACATAGCTAGGGGAAAACACACAATCCTTAAAAGGATTTTTTTGAAACTAGATGGGCCATCTATACCATTGCAAATTCTTTAATTACCGGATGGTAATATCCCATTCATTCCAGTTGTATCCCATTTTGTGTGTTTGGTTACATTGGAGCCCCCAATTTAATCCCATTATATATATATGTTTACCATCTGGTTATTTAACATAGCCATGGAAAGATCCACCCATTTTATAGCTAGGTAAACCATCTATTTCGATTAGGGCCATGGCTTCCATGGCGAACTGTTAGTCATAACCAGGTTGGGTATATATGTTTCTGGATGAATTGTAGTGACCTGCGCGTGACGTCACTGGAATGATGGTGAATGGATTGTGGGAATCATGCCCAAAAAGTTCACCATTTCATCACAATTCAGCCAGAAACAGTAATGGATTGCCATAAAAAATCGATTGAACCACCATTGATCACATTGATTGTCCCAGCAAACTTTATTGGTTGTTATCCCATAATGTATCTATATAAACATATATATTGCTATAATATATCTTATTATACAATCCCATTGGATATATTTGTTGATCCCATGATATAATCCCATTGGATATCACATTCCATTGTATATGTTACCCTAGGCTAGACGTCTACATGGACCCGGACATCGGATGGGTAGTTCAATCCCTTGTTTTTGTTGCGAAACAAATGGATACCCGGCCTGGTAAACATACGAAAAACTGATGGGAAAATCCACTATTTCGTTGGGTAGATCCACTATTTCTATGGGTAAACAACAAATCACCATGCATTTTCAATGGGTAAATCCACTATTTCGACTGGGCCATGGCTTCAATAGCTTTTTGTAAACGTTTACCAGAGGGTAGTAACCATAACCAGCAAAGATTTTTTTTTTTGTGGACTACCGATGGACTAAGATGGACGACCACTGGGATTACCGAGGCCACCTCGGTGTCAAAAAGAAACGCAGATTTTTCACGTGGACATTGTGACATAGCACCCCCAAAAAAGATAGAGATAGTTTGATCCTACTAAAACAGTGGTGAATTACTTTTCCGTCTGCGGGTTTGCTATATACATGCTATTTATACAGATATTGATTGACTAGAGATGATCGATTGAGAGAAAATGGAGATGTGAAAGGAAGGATCATGAAACGAAAAAGACTTGGGAAAATTCAACCAACAACGGATGACCCAAAGTCGAAAAGATTCAGGAAGATTCACAAGCCTAGTCATATTCCCCTACTATAATTATGATCCATGAAACGCCTCCCCCAGAAATAATGCGTTAATCCGGGATAACATCACATATTTTCAACCATATTTTGGGGTCTTTCATAAGCGGATGGGGGTAGCCACCATCCATGATCAGACACTATGAACAATACTATGAACAACACACCGATAGTGTATGGTGTGTATGGTATGATACTATTAACATTTATTAACATCTGTTAACTATCATGCTGAATCATACTGTTGAAGTACTAGAACAAGTGCTGTTCACCATTGGCATGATGGGATGATTCATCAGAGATTATATCGTCAACACACCAATCCCTCTTGGTCCTTCATAAACACCATGGCTGCTGTCGCCATGCCTTTGGATGGAGGCGCTCGGCCGGATTTTGTCGTTTCGGGTTTCCGTTGTTGGCAACCTTCAGTTCGGTATTTTTTGTTGGCGGCCATAAAAACAGGGAGATGAACCAGCCAACAAAAATTATGTGTGTTTTGCGCTGGGTATCTAAGTTTTGTCATTTAATTTTTACATTTAAAACTGAACGTAAACCCAGAATTGGTTTAGGAACCCTGCAAAGTTGCATATTAAGAATGCCAAACTCATGATCTCCAGCTTTCTGTGGTCACTTGCTTTGACCTGTCGATACCTGTCGATTCCGGTGTTTGACGATTGCAGCAATCTTACATGACCATGTCCCATCCAATAGTGAGTACCAACAGCTCTTGCTGTTGGTCACATCTCTACCATCTGGTTATGACTAACAGTTTGCCATTTTATAGCTAGGTAAATCACCATTTTTAATAGGTAAATCACCATTTTATAGCTAGGTAAACCGGTAAACCTCTATAAATGGGCCAGCAATCCCATGGCGAAGTGTTAGTCATAACCAGCTGGTAGCCGCATTTTCATGGCTTAAACCCAGGCATTTGCTGGGTAAAAAGCGGTATTTTTGCTGGTAAAAACCTGGATGTGCATCCCACGAATCGTTTTTGTGGTTTGTAAACCATATATGAACCATATATAAACCATATACAAGTGGGGATATTCCATTAATATAAGTGGGGGTATTTACACATTTACTAAGTAGCTTTCCTGGCACACCGTGTCTGCCTCAGCAGGTGCAGGACCCGCGGGTGCGGCACCCTTCGAGACGGCGTTGCAAGAGGCGGAGACAAATTCGTGGCTGCTTATACAATGGGCGAGTCATAAAACCAATATAGCATCTTAATCCCTATAATATATTATTCCATTATACTAGCTGGTTTATAGGGATTCCCCGTTCTTGGATTACTACAATCCCCTATAATATATTGGGTAGTAAGGGTAGTATAATCCCCTATAATCATCAACCAACAGGGGTTTTGAACACTGCTCACAAAATATATCGACTAGCATATTAATTGATATTGATTCTAACGGTTAATATTAACATCGAAAAACATGATTCCTATTATTTGGAGGTCTCCTAAAATGGGGGTACCCCAACATGGATGGTTTATAATGGAACATCCGAAATCTAAATGGATGATTTAGGGCCCCCCCCATGGATTGGAAACCTTCATTAATATCTATACAATGTGGCTATACCACCCATTGTATGGTATACCATATACACTGGCTATATATATATACATATATATATATATACATATATATATACATATATATATACATATATATACATATATATACATATACATATACATATACATATGTAGTAACACCATTTGCCACGAATGGGCAACCATATGGGTATACCATCAAATCGGCTATTTTCCATTTTGCAATGATTCGTCAGACATATTTGATGTAAGTCCATATGGGTGTGTCTGCAAATGGGGTTATACCCCATGAAATTGATCCGTTGGAATTGGGGAAGATGCCTATTTTTTGAGCCAAAGCCATACCCGGCCTGGTAAACATAGAAAAAGTTATTCAAGCCATGGCCACAGAAATAGTTGATTTACCCATTAAAAGAAGGTGTTTTCCCCTGGTTATGTTAGTGTACCAGAGGGTATATTTTATGGTATAACAATGATATCATAAGATTACATGAAAATCACCATTCTCAATGTTAAATTACCAGAGGGTAATGCATGATAATGCCATAAATTGGGGCATGATCTGACCGTTCTTTTGGGGGATCACTGCCGATCACCGTGGCCGGCTTTCGCCTCGTGCCTCAGGCGCAGGTTCGGCTGTTGGCCGCCCACGGGGCCGCCCTGGCTACACTGGAGGCGGATTTGGGGAAGGATTTGGGGAAGCGAACAAAAATCCGTTCAACATTTCTTAGGGGATATAAAGGGAATATAGGATATATATATATATATAATTAAATAAATAAACAATTGAACATATATAATGGCCATATACATATATAATGTGTGTATATATTATATGTATACACATTATATATATATCACTGATAAGCATCATGGATTTTGACCAGCAAAAATCTAAAATTTCACCAATCCATTGGGGATTGTTGCCGGTGGGAAAATGGATAGATCAAGCGGTTTTTTTGAGCGGTAGACAAAGCCACATGTTTCACCCCAAAATGGCTACCCTCTGGTTATGACTAACATAGCCATGGGAAATGACCCATAGAAATAGATGGTTTACCTATTAGAAATGGTGATTTTCCATGGCTATGTTAAATAACCAAATGGCTATAATTTACCAAAATTGCAGCGCAATTCTGAAAGAGAGGTGATTGAGTTTTCAAGCTCATCAGTAGATTTTATGGCACCATGATATTTATTCGGGTAGTATGGTCAGTCATCAGGTTTGCTTTTTTTCAAACCTTGGGTACCTGGGCTGCCAATGAGTTGCCATTAGTGAAACTCAGGGGGATCTAACTGGTTGAACTGAGGGCGGATTCAACCAACACCGGGATATCACCTGCAAAAATTGCGGATGATTCAGTCCTGATTTTCACAACCATCGCGTGAGATTGACCCTGCGAGTTTTTTCATGTTTTTTCCACAGATTGCCAGAGGGCTGACCTAACCGAAACTCATTTCACTCACCGGTTTGGGATAGAATGAAGCAACATGGGGTTACAT